TTCTACCTGTGAAATGACAGGGATGGGCAAGGTGACTATGAAGTGTGTGTATGGATCCTTACTCAGCTACGAAAGGAAAAGGAATTGTCAACCATGCAGTAAACTGAATAATGACTGCTATGGTTTGAACCTGCAATGTCCCCTTGAGGGTCGTGTTCTCGGGGCTTTTGGGGAGTCTGTAATCTTTTAGGAGGTGGGGCATGGCTGGCAGAAAGTCACTAGTAGTGATGGTTAGTTTTATTTTTTTTGTTTTTGTTTTTTTGAGACAGGGTTTCTCTGTATTGTTTTGGAGGCTGTCCTGGAACTCGCTCTGTAGACCAGGCTGGCCTTGAACTTACAGAGATCCGCCTGCCTCTGCCTCTTGAGTGCTGGGATTAAAGGCTCGCGCCACCAACGCCAGGCATGATGGTTAGTTTTAATTGTCATTTTGACCCAACCTAGGATCACCTTTGAAGGGACTCCCAGTGAGGGCTTGTCTACATTGGTGTGACCTGCAGGGTTGTCTTAATTAACTGGTGTGGGAAGACCCAGTCCACTGTGGGTACAACCATCCCCTAGGCGGGGGATTCTAAACTGTGTGAGTGGAGAAACTAAATGGAGCACAAGCATGCGAGTGAGCCTTTCACACTCATTTCCTCTCTCTGCTCTAGACTCTGGATGTTACTGAGTTATTTTAAGTTCCTACAGCCTTTGATCTCTCTACTAGCATTCCTGTTACCCGAGATTGTGGATTAAAACCCTTCCTCTGCTAAGTTGCTTTTTGTCAGGGTATTTTATCACAGCAAGAGAAACGAAGCTAGAACATGAGGTGTAGCTGTTTAAAGGTTTTACTACCCGTGGTTCATGGCCCACCTCTGTCCTGTTTCCAGTCCACAGTGATAGGAGGAGCTGCTACCTTCCCATCCTGTGCCATGAACTCTACCAAGTCATCCCACCATGATAGACTGAGATGTGAGAGACCCACTAAAAACTTAAGTCAAAATGAACTCTTCTTCCAGTAAGTCTTTTTTTTTCCTGTCAGATACTTTGGGCACAGTGATGCAAAAGTCACCAATTCAGTGGCACAGGTACCAGTGTTTCCTAGGCTGAGGAAGAACCAAGAATGTTTTCCTCATTGTCACACATGCCATCTCCTGCCTTTGTGTTACACAGACTTTTCTGCCCCCTGGACCAGGGAAAAATTCCCTAGAAATAGCATAAACACCCCAGAGGGCTCTCAAGTGTGCCTTGGAGCCCTTTTAGTGTGGCTGCTGATTAAAGAGATGGCCATTTCCTTTGGCATCTCTTCTAAGACCAGCAAAGTGGGTACCTGCCCTAGGAAGGCACTAGCAGATGAAGGATGCTGGTGTGAAGAGGAGACACTATCTACCCATAAGAAAGACTGAAGGGTGAGGACCAGATTGGGTGGGTCATGCATAGATGAGAGGTCTCTAACTGGACTACTCTGGCCCTGGGCTGGATCAGTATGTGCAAAAGGTAAATATGGGTAAGTAATGGTCCTCTTCAAGAGAGACTGAGTGTCCACAGAGCATATGTGTGCTGATATCTTGCTTGCACAAATAAAGCCTGTCTGAAGATCAGAGGATGGGGCTTGCCACTAGCTAACCATAGACATAAAGGTCAGGAGATCTGTACAGACACACAGGAAGTGAGATAGCTGGCTTGAGAGAGGATACAAGTGGGAAGAAACAGGAATTTGCTCTCTTTTCTAATGGGAAGCTAATGAGGTAAAGGTGGCTCTGGCTTGCTCCTTCTCTCTGATCTCTCATCATTTTCCTCTATATCTGATTCCAGGTTTTCATTATTTAGACCAGTTAAGCACTCCATTTACAAAGGTGGCTTGTAGACACCCTCCTCCAAGCACCCTGGCTAGCACGATGCACACGGCAGGTACATACATCTGACCCCAGCTATCATCTGAAGAGTATAGGGTTCCTTTTCTGAGTTAGACTTTCCAACTGTGGGATCCATGAACACACTAGTTTCCTATCTATGAGGTTAGAAGATCACTGTCGTTCCCTCTGACCAGTACAACCAGCAAAATCAACTGAGGTCCAGATCTCAGGAACTGGTGAGATTCCATTATGAACAAGAAACAGCCCTCAAAAAGCATGGGACTCCGCCAGGGAGAGAACAGACCCTGACATAAATGCCCACAAGGTAGAGTAGAGACGGGTCAGTGCTAGATGAGAGGGAGGAGCAGAACGCTCAGAGGCAGTGCCCACCCACGCAGAATCCAGCACACTTTAGGAAGAGCCCTCGCCGTGTGAGAAGCCCGGCTCCTCCCCGCTGCCATTCAGTCCTGAGAGCCTCATGCTCTCATAAAGCTACTTCTCTGGGTTGTCAAATGGACCGTTTGTCCTAAGAGCCTCACTGTACTATGAGGATTAAGAGAGAACTGATTTAAATGCACATTGGATAAATAAAAGCAGCGAGCATGAGGCATTTCATCATCTCTGGAGGGAGAGGAGGGCAGCAAGCTAAAAGCAGAAAGCGGAAAAAGACAGACGGCAGCAGTGGGTGGGTGGGGCCCGACAGACCCGGGGGACCAGGTCGATGTGAACACACACCGGGTTCATTTCATAGTGGCTGTTTTAACCTCACACAGCTCTCTCTCTCTCTCTCTCTCTCTCTCTCTCTCTCTCTCTCTCTCTCTCTCTCTCTCTCTCTCTCTCTCTCTCTCTCTCTCTCTCTCTCTCCCTCCCTCCCTCCCTCCCTCCCTCCCTCTCTCTCTCTCTCTCTCTCTCTCTCTCTCTCTCTCTCTCTCTCCCTATCCCTCTCCCACTCCTCTTCCTTCTCCCTCCCTCACTTAAAGAGATGAAGTGAGAACACATGAACTCCTTTGGGGAGAATGAAAGTCCCACCCAGGGAAGTGGCAGGATTATGACTAGTGGAGTCATGTGAGCCCCATCCTTCTTGAGCCCCATCCTTCTCCAGCCCCGGCACCCTGAACTGTGCTTGGGCTCTGTGGGTGCTCAGTGACGACGTTTTTACCTCTTTACACAGCTCTGTCAAAGGTGGGGACTGAGGCTCCTTATCCAAATTAGTGCCATCAGCAGGGAGCCCATCTCTTCAACTCCTCACACTGTGGGGTTGTTCATACCATGCCAAACCCCAAGACTTGTTTCAGCAATCGGGACTGATGGGACACGCCTGTGATCCCAGCACTAAGGAGGCCAAGGCAATGAGGACGGAGTTTTAGGTCATCCGGGGATGAATCTTCAACCCAGGAAGCCATCTCCCTGAATGTACTGTAGGCGACACATGCATCTCCACACTCCTTCCCTGAGACGCCTCCCTGAATCACCTCATCAGATGACGACTCCCAAGAGTACTGGTCTATTGCAATCAAGAGGGTTGTTAGGAGTAGGAGGAACAGCTCAGTAGTTAAGCGCACCTGCTGTTCTTTTAGAGGACCTGGGTTCAAGTCTCAACACCCACACAGCAGCTCAAAACCACCTGTTAACTCCAGTTCCAGGGGATCTGATGCCCTCTTCTGGCTTCCTCAGGCACCAGGCTCACACACGGCACACAGACATACATGCAGGTGAACACCCATACATAAACAAAATTGTAAAAGACAAAAGGTTTGGTGCATCCCAGATAGAAGTGTTGTAGGGTCTCTGGTCTCTGGATCTTTTTTTTTTTTTTTTGCCTCCACCAAAAAAAGAACCAGTTGGGGTTAAAACCATTGGTTGAATACTTGACATCATAGCCATTTAGAAGAAGGAAAGGGAACAGTCTGTACTAGTGGGAAGACAGAGAAGGAGCAATCTTTTATTTCTTTGCCATGGGCTTTTTGCCTAGAGACTGGGTTGTCAATCTTGATAGATGACAGGGCTGCAGGAATGGGTATAGAGGACAAGCACATGGTTACAGTAGCAAAGTAAGTTGTGGCGTTGTGAAGCCAGAGGCAGTGAGCCTGATGTGGGGTCTGAAATTGGGGCAGGAATCCAAGTTCCAGCCCGCGAGGGTGGACAGAGAGTGTGAATCTCTTGCCTGTGCTGCCTTCCCACAGCACAGAGGAGAGGAACAGGGAGGACCTTAGAGATAGAGCTAAACCATTTTCAAGGTCAGAGACATCCTCATCTTCCACAGCCCGCTCTCACCCTTGGCTATTAACGTTTCATGGGGTACCTGATTCCTATGGGATGTTCTATTCTAATAAAAAAAAACCCTCAAAATATAAAGATTTTTCTGGGAGGCTAGATCTGTTTTGGGGTACCTCGTCACAAGCTCATAACATGGCTCTCAGGCACCCTAAAGTGGCAACATGTCTGGTAGGAGAGACCTTGCTGTTCCAAAGACACAGCAGGTCAGGAAGGAGGAGCCTGAGCCTTGGAAACAAATCGTGGTGATGCATGTCACTATCGGCGCAGCTGGGATGATTCAGTGACGCACCATACGGAATTTTAACAGAACCATCTTCAAGAATAACTTCCCTCCACACCGAGGGAAGAAACTAAGAGGGCAGTCACTAGCTGATCTGTAGTGAGCATTAGTGTAACAAATTATCCCCTCCCCCATTGCTTATTCTTCACTGACTGATAGAATAGACCAGTCCTGGTGAGAGGAACAGGTGAAACAAACCAGACCATAATACTCTTTGCATGGGGGGCCAGCTGGGGCATCCTGAACAGTCAGTAACAGAAGAAGATGATGTTCAGGATCAGTGGACACAACAGGAAATTCATCAACCACCCAATATTAAAGCCACAGGGCTCAGGGCTAAAAGAAAGTTTAGACATTGTCTAGTCTGACATTTTACTGGTACGGCCCAGAGTGACTGGCTACAGACATGTAGCGAAGCCATGACTAGGAATTAGGTCCCTCCATCCCCAACAACTTTTCAAATCATGGATGTTTCTTGCACCTTCTGCCACCCCCTGACTAACATCAATCTCCTGATTACAATGGAGAAAGACAAACCCTCTGGAACACCGTGTGTATCCTTGAGGATCCCACAGGTCACCAGCAGCAGCCTCTCCGGGCAGACATACCTTATGTGAGTAATGCTGATCCACGATTCTTGCCAACCCGAAATCCCCAATCTTGAGCACAAGGTCCTCAGTGCTGATAAAAATATTGGCAGGCTTCAGGTCCCTGTGCAACACATTAGCAGAGTGGATGTACTTGAGCCCACGGAGCAGCTGGTACATGAACAGCTTGGCGTGCTCCTCGGTCAGTGTGCCCTGCTCCAGCAGTCGTGCCAGGTCAGTCTCCATGTACTCTTGGACAATGTAGGCCACGCTGAACTTGAAGAGCTCACCCTGCAGATCACTACCCTTGGGTCCTAGTACCTCATACACCTTGACAATGTTGTCGTGGTCCAGGCGCCGGATGATTTTGATCTCTCGGAGTGCATGCTTCATGCTTCGGGCATCGCTCAGAGCAATCTTCTTCACAGCTACCTTCCGGCAAGCCCTGCTGTCCACAGCTGACAGTACCAGCCCGTTGACCCCAAAGCCTAGGGGTTGGAAGTCAATGAAGCGCCCACCAAGGTCATATCCGTAGACACTGGCGATGCAGTCACCTTTCTCGGCCATTGTTGACTCAGTGGTCTGGGGCTGGCTGGGGGATGCAGAGGCAGTCAGGAAAGGAAGAGTTCCAGCTAGTGGCTTCCCCCACACACCTCATTCTGTTAACTCTCACAACCGAGAGGTGCTTTTGCTCCTGGTGATGTCACAGCTGCCAGGGGACAGGGACGGCCGCAAGTCCTTGCTCACTGAAGTGCTGGATGCTGCCACGGTTCTTAACTGTACCAGGAGGGTTGGCCACCAACTCCTGTGCTTCAAGAACCCTCCTAGATGCTTAAAATGGTTCATGCTTCTCCCAGATCTGGCATGATTAGAAGGGAAAGCCAGCGTCCTTATCTTCTATCCCCACGGATCTCAGAGTAAAACATGAATCCTCCTGTCTGGCTCAAATGCAGGAGCTCTTGCTCAACTATGCTGCTTTCCTTAAGTGGGTCCAAAGCTTAATCGGATCACAGCCCCCCCTCTGGGCCCTGAGCAGCAAGAGGGGATCTTAGATGCTTCTAGGGGCTTCTTTTCATTTCTTCCAGCTTATCTTTCGACAAGTTCCCTTAGAGCCCCAAACCCCAACCAGTCTTGTGAGTGAAGAGCTAGAAAGAGCCACGCTTGCTCACGAGCTCCATAGTCACACCCGCTGTCCCAAGTCCAGGCCAGGACCCTCCAGAGGCTTCGGATGGGGGCACATCCTCTTTCACCCAATCTTCTACGCCGCCTTGACTGAGACTGCCCCACTGGATGCGGGAGGGCCGCAGGAACGCAGTAGCTGTCAGACAGAGTCCCTTTCCCTGTCAAAGACACAATGTTGGGTAAATTTCCACACTCTGGCTTCCAACACCTTCCCACTTGCGTCTTTTGTTAACCAGCCCAAGTGTTATTTGATCTGTCCAGCCAGCTGAATCGCTGCTTGCTCAGGGGATTCCGGCCTCACACTGCTCACCACCCTCATGCTGTGTGCAGCAGTGGCCTGGCGGGGGAGAAAGGACGGGCTGATTTGATAAGTCCATCAGATGGAGTGCTTTTATGTCAGTCAGTGCCTCTTTCCCCAGGGCTAACATGTGCAGGGGGGTGGGGCGGGGGAGTCATCCCTTTTGACCTTTGCAAGATTCATCTGTTATGCTTTCCAGACTCACACACATCAGCAAGCACTAGCTGGGAAGGTTGAGAGATGAAAGGAACCAGTTATAGCCAACGATGAGGGCTCAATAATCTTGTTTTCCCACAAGGGCCCCTTCCTTATTTTGCAAATGCCTTTGGATATTTTAAGAGAAAATTCTCCTTGGACTGAGATTTAATAGCATTTCCTTTCCACACAGGTGGCAGAAACACAGATGCAGAGCTATAAGAAAACTCTGCTGCCACTCACAGAAAAGGGGCTATCTACCCCAAAGGCAATGCTGCATCAGGGATGGCTGATCCTATGACAGGGACACTAGGGACCTAACTGCTAAAAGCAGTTGGCCACATTCATACTTGATGTTTCACCTCTGATGCCTGTGAACTCAAATTGCAGGTATAGGATATTAGGGGGTTAAGGGAAACCCTACATACCCTAGCCAGGTCAACTCAGAACTCAAAAAGTAAGGCAACATAGTGACTTCAAGAGTGTGACATGTTTCTCAAATGTACAGAGTTCATGGGTGTATAGAGATAGGACTTTGTATCTAGTGCAGAGGGAACCTAGCCAGTCTCCTCAATTCTTAATTCCCACCTCCCTCATCTATCTAAGCTTCACACAGTGCAGGGTCCCACGAGTACACTTTCCCATCTGAACTCCATACGATTCTACAAATAATAAATGAAGCAAAACAACCATGAATTTAATACTCTGAAACTACAGCTTGTGCGTGCGTGCATGCATGTTTGTCACGTCTGCTGCACGGCCTGTGTCCGAGAACGTGCGGAGGGTGTCGGGGATTGACAACACAGAGACTCGTTCAATGATATAAAGAAAACTTTAAACAGGCTCCAAAAAGGTTCAAGAAAACCTCCTAAGAAAAGCTCCCACCAGAGAAGCTTCTGCTCTCTCCTCTACCCTGGCTGGTTCTGCTCTGACCCCAGAGGTGGATGTGTGTGGGTTTTTGAAGGTGCGGTTAGTCTTTGGACAAGGTCGAGGTCAGGGCGGTTTTCATGGGAAGGCGTTTTCCAGGAACTTATTGTATCGTTTTTAGTAAACATGTTCTTACTAAACATTGTCTACCGAGAGAGAGAGAGAGAGAGAGAGAGAGAGAGAGAGAGAGAGAGAGAGAGAGAGAGAGAGAGAGAGAGACGCCCACTGAGGGTCATACATGCAGGCACACATCTGTGTAGATGGTGGCCAGAAGTTGAACCCAGGTGCCTTCTTCAATAACGCCCCCACCTTGTTCCCTGAGGAATGGTCTCTTACTGATCTTGGAGCTCCTTTCTTTGGCTAGACTGGCTAGCCAACAAGCCACAAGGATCCTCGTATCTCTGCTCTCCCAGCTCTGGGATTACAGGATTTTATATGGTTCTGGGGAGCTGAACATAGGTTTTCATGCTTGTGTGGTAAGATTATGGAAGGAGCCATCTCCTGGGTTGCACCCTTGCTCCCTGCCCTGTGCTCTCTGAGGGTTTCTGAACAAGGAAATTTGCCAAGGCTCTGGAATATACTAAGTGCTTAGTTCTACAGATGTCAGCCATCATGGCTGCTGTCTAGCAGCTCGTTCCTCACACCTGAATGAGACCAACTCTTTTGACAACCTGTCAAATTTACCACCATTGCCCTCTGAAGCTTTTATTGGGCCCAGAGGCAAAACAATAGTAGATTTAACAAAACTTCACACTTGGGAACAGTCCAAGTAGCCAAGTCCCATTGTCCTTAGCTGCAGACCGTACTGTCCTCCTTGGCTTCTGTGACTAGGAGTCACCTTTATAGTGTAGGGCCAGGCTTCTAAGTAGTCTACTGAGCAACTCCATTAGTGACTGACACCTGTCCCCCAGTGTCCTCTGAGGCTGCTTCTGATCCAAGTTCTCACCTTCTCAGGTGGACAACTGAGGCTTTGTCAGCAGTGGCTCAGTGGTGTCAGCCCCGAGACTGACACTTGGCTAAGGGAATAACCTTCATTGTATGCAGATGCCTCAGCCGCTTGGCCACGCACAGTGAGACACACAATGCTACAGTCTGTGTGTAGTGAAGTCCTCCTGAACACCTAACTCAGGGACACCCCCACAGAGAGAGAGGGGGAAGAGAGAGAGAGAGAGACAGAGACAGAGAGACAGAGAGAGAGAGAGACAGGGACACAGAGAGAGAGAGTGCGTGTGTCTTGGTTCTATCCCAACTCCAGCAGCCAAGTCAGAGGATACCACCTGAGCTGGAGCATCCTGCAGTTCCAGAATGGGCCTCATTCGGTCTGGTCCCCAAGGGGAGCTAATTACATACATCTCTCTAGCAGGAGAGGTGCCCAAGCCTCCTCCCCTTTCCAGCTCCCTCTGGGTGGTAAACAGAGATTGGAAGGGCCCCTCCGACTTCACAAACAGCTCAAAGGAGGACTTGCTGGCAATGCAGATAATCTGTGAATAATTAAGAAGGGCTTCATTTATTTTTAAAGTCGTTCCTCTTCCCGCCCCCCACCCCGTGGGAGGGACTGGCTTCCCTGTGTGTCCTGGTTCTTTCCCAGAGCTCTTCCCGATGCACCGAAGCTAAAGCACATAGGAAACATGTCACCTGGGGAAGGCTCCATTGCAGAACATCGTTTCCCTCCTGGGAATCTAAATGACCCTTCGGAATCCTCACTGGCTTCTTTGACTGTGCCTTTCAGGTTTCTCAGCACATATCCTGCATGGTGGGCTGCCTCATGTGTGCTCGCGAGTGCAACGTGCTCAGTCAGCTCTTCTTACCATAACACCCAACCAGCAGACAAATCCATAGTCCTGCAATTGAACTTTGACCTGCTCAGTGTCATCTGCCACTCCAGTATTGTCTCTTAGAATTTCAACACCCTATGCAGGTGGCCTTCATCCGAGTAGTCCCACCTGAGTTTCCTGCCACTCATCTCTTTGGAAACTGCTTTACTCTCTATGCTTCTTTCCTTAGTTCCTCTGTAACGTCTACTGCAAACCCCATGCCACTTTCCATGGGCAGTTTGCTATGAAGCATCCCCTCTGGTCACTTCTGGCATGATAGGCCAAGAAGAAGCAGGGCTACTCACCCCCAGAGAGGGGCAGATGGCATTTAGATGTGTTCCTGCGTGGAGGAGCAGGTTCCGCTGCAAAGACTGGTCATTCAGATATGATTTCAAACCAAGGACTTGGCATTCACTGTACAACACAGAAAGGTCAACTGACTCAGCTGCGCTCAGACGAGGACAGCGAGACAAATGCATGTAGCTCCCCTGAGGGCAGCGCAGGCTCCCACAATTCCACAGCAAACACAGAAATAAAAATCCCTAGCCTGGGCCTCCCAGAAGTGGGACCCCAGCTTTTGCCGGGTTTTTTACTGACAGCTTCCCAGAATTCCAATGAATTATTCTCTCACCAGGCAGCTTTTTAGCGGATCGGGGCAGACCAGAGGTGAGGTGGTACGGACCACCTGTCCCTTTCTGGGATTCCCGGGGCTCTGGTTTACAAATTGTCTTTGGGAAATCTAAATTTAGACTCACCCCTCTGCTTGCTCAGCACCTCCCAAACCTCACGCTGTTGACTTCAGCAGGAAAGAACTTCCTGTGAGGCATTGACATTTCACAGCTACTGCTTCCCGCCTTCTCCCCAACGCCCCCAAAACCTGTAATCAATTCTCAGCCGGGGCTAAAGTTCCAGTGGGACAGGCCGTAAGCCGCACAATTTCGGGTTAACTCATTTAGGCCACACTTAGGCCTGACTGACTGACTCCAAGGTTCTTGAGAGAAGATCAGTAAGCCATTTCTACCAAGGGCCAAAATATTTTCGTGGCCAGACTTCTCCAAGTGAGCTGACTACTCAGAGGTCCTGCCTGGTGGACACTGGCCACCTACCCAGGTCACTAGTGCTTCCTCCTTATGAGTAGAAGCCACATCTAGTTCAGCCACGGAGAAGCTGTCTCTACCCCTGGTTTTTTAAGTCTCAGTATAGTGGACATTTGAGTCCACATCATTGTCAGCAAGGCCCCTCCTGAGCACCGGCCTCTGCCCACTGTATGCCAGAAATACTCAGCAGTGTCTCCAAACACTGGCTATGGCACTGAGTCAGCTCCGTCTGCTGGGAAGTTTCAACAGACGAAGATTAGTATTAAGAAGCCACCCAGTGCCTGACTCAGTGTCTCATTCCAGAGTCACGTGAAGACTTGCTGGGTTAAAGTCCCTACCAGGCTCACTGTGTGATCTACATGGTTTCTGCTCAGGGTCAACAGCTCCCTTCTTGTTTTGTGAGGCAATTATTATTACTGTGTATATGTGTGCACGATGTCACGTGACTGCTGGCACGATGGTGCCATGGCACGCATGTGAAGGTCAGATGACTTTGGAGTCAGGTCTTTCCTTCCACCCTGATGTGGGACCTGGAGATTGAACTCAGGTCGTCAGAGCTATACAGCAAGTGCCTTTACCCACTGAGGCATCTTGCCAGCTCTGCACCTAACTTTTAACCCCATTCTAATCCACCACATGCAAAAATGACACTCCCTGGTTGCTCCTCATACAGCCCCTAAGACCCCAGAGGGCAATTGTACGTATCAAACCCAAACCCACTGAAAACCCTAAATCTAGAACAGTTGTAATCAGATTCTCTGTGGGCAGAAATTGACTTTGGGTGACCACAGTATGAATTCCTAACAATAAGCTTTAAAAGAAAGTTT